TGCTCCCCCCTTCACCCTGTGCTCCGAGCTGGGGATGTCTCCCCATGGCTTGGCTTTGAGGAAGGGAGAGCAAGTGTGAGGCTGTCTCCAACCCCAGCTGGCAGCTGCCCCCTCCCCAGTGCAGGGTATGCAGCCTGTCATGCCCCTGTGGCTGCCCCTCAATGCATTTCAGGGCAGGGTGTTGCTGAAGCAAAATCTCTGTACTGGTGTTACCCACCCCCACGGCAGCAAGGTTGTATTTGGTGTGCGTGACCCCCAAACAGCAGCAGATCCCACCCAGCTCCTGTTGCCTCTCCATGTACAACCAGAGGGCTGGGGGAGCCCTGCTGCAATGCCAGGGCATGGGAGGCTCTGTTGTCGCCCCCTGTCTCCTTGTGACGGAAGCAAAAAGGCCTGGCTATGTGAGGATCAGCCCTCAGGCACACCAGGCCTGAGCCCCGTTCCTGCCAAGGATGGCTACTGCATCCTGGAAGGAAACAGGGAAACACCCAGACTCTACCTCAGCACTCATAAAAGCACATCTTGTCCCTGTTGTTCCCTACATGTCACCCCTCCACTGTGTGTGCAGGTACAGGAGAGTCTACAAGGTACACCAGGACGTCTGCTACAAGGAGAGCTGTGCGAGCAGTGGTTCCGAGAGGACAACCAGCAGGTACAGCCAGCAGCAGCACACTGAGCGTGCCAGCCTTCCTGTGACCCTGGACAGGAGGATGCAGCTGGCAGGTGGTCCCCAGCATGCATGGGCACACTCAGGCTGGGGTAGATTGGGAGAGGGGTGCAGGCATGACTGCTGCGAGCAATGTCCAAGGGGCACAGGGCTGATGGTGCTCTCCTCCCTTCTCTTCCAGAAAACCAAGCAACAGTCACACACTGAAGAAGCCGTAGAAGTAAGTACCTGTTCCAGCCCTCCTCAGCCCCAGGCAGCGGCAGTTCTTGTACAGGGAGTCGGGGAGGTGGAAGGGTGGAGGCCAGGGCACACCTGTAGCTCACCCCTCCCATGTTGAGGAGGTGTGAGGGCTTGTGGCTGAGGGCTCCTGGTTGTGTCTGGGATGGAGGAGCAGAAGGCAATGTTCTGCTTTCCCCTGGCTCTGCAGCTTCATGAACAAGAGATTGCTGCACAGATTCCTGCACAGGCGGAAGCTGGAGCCCTGGAGAGGGCAGGTCCCCTTCTCCCAGCCTGAGATGGGTGCACAGGGTGGGAAGAGACAGCTGTGGGGCTTTTGGGGGATTCCGCACACCAGCTTAATTTTCCTCCTCCTCCTCCACAGGGTTTAAAGCAGTAGAAGCTTCATCTTTCCACATCTAAGGGCTTTTTGAACACCAGGAAGATCAGATCTGCTCACTGCGTTGAAGCTCACTGCTCACAGCAGGGGCACCTTCCTGCCTCGTGTTAGCCTCTCCCTGTCCTCCAGCCTGTTAGGCAGCCAGGTCAGCAGACAGGGCAGTGCTCACTTCCCCCTGCCAGCCCAGCACTGCCTTTGCTGGTTTGCCTCCCTCCGGCCGCCTCTCTGCCCCTGAGGAGCTGAGCACCAGTACCCCCAAAGGGGCCAGCCCTGCTCGGGCCCCCCAGCCACTCTGCACAAGCGATGGGCTCCCCGCTCCACTCAGGGATCAGCCCAGCAACTTGCCAACAGCATCTGCACCAACCTGTTTTTGTAATCCAAGGTTATAAATTACCTATAACCCTCAAATAAAACAGTTTAATGCAGAGCAAAAAGCCTTAGCCATCAACTGAAACATGGCCCCCAAAAATCTGCTCGGAGGAAATGTTCCAACCTCTCTAGATGAGTTAAAAATGGTGAGCAGCTCCGAGCAGTGAGGCGAGCATGGACAGTGGAGGCACATTTCTGTTTCCTCTGCTCTAGTAGGGGAAACTGATGCAGCTTCTTCTGCCTGCCTTTTTTCTTTGCTTTGTAAACAATTCCTAGTTTTAACCAAATTTCCAGCTCAAAAACCAATAGAGCACCTAGAAAGAATTCTAAAAGTGATCTCTAGGTGAAGTCTGTCAGCTGAGGCATGCCACTGCCACCACACTTGTTGTAACTGCCCCACATCACCACAGGGCCCAGCAGAGGCTGGTGCCAATGCCAGCCCCACATGCCATCCCCCTGTGCTACTTCCAGCGTTTACCTTCCCTGTGCCAGCAGCGCTGTGGAGTGTGTGGAGGAGAGAACCAGCACACAGCACTGTGGCAGGGCAGGCAAAGAAAGAGTGTAGTTTAGAAATGTTCCTAGTTTTTGTGAGTTTGTATGACAACACTAGTTAAACATAGATTTGTGTATTAATGTACACAGTGTATATTATAAATTAATACATACCAGAGATATATCGCAGTTATGGTATAGAGCATTATGTCCCCAGCAGCGTGGGGTTATCCCAGGGGGGAGACCCTCCCCTCCCACCTAGCATCACTGAACTCTATAGCTCAGCCATACCTCTCAAGTGGCGGCCTGGAAGTTGCTCTTGGAGCGGGACAGGCCTAGGAGTTTCAGTGCTCCTGGCATCACCCTTTTCCTGCCAGGAGCAGTGTAATAATAGTGCTCAGCAGAGACAAGGTAAAACCTTGGCCCCCTGGCCAGCAGGATGCTGTGCTCCTCCACTGCCTCTATCTCTCATCCCAGAGGAGAGACATGTTTTGTATTCCTCCAAGACTGTCTGGTCCTGCTTCAGCTATATGGCAAGCACAGCAGCACTACCTCCCCAGGGCAGGAGAGGAAGCCTGGGACGAGCAGGGCAAGGAGAAACCCAGGCCAGCCTCTGTTCTCTGTGAGGGACATGAAGGGTTTAGGGCCATGGTAAGAAAGCTTTTGCATCCCTGCCCTGTCAGCCACGAGATCAGTGCTGACACTGGCTGTGGAGGTGGAGGCAGCCCTGCCATGGGACAGTCCTGTTTCCACAGGGCCTGTCCCCACAGCCCCGGGAAGTCTGGTCCTGCTGCCAGCTGGCATAGCAGCCCACTGCCTCCCACCCTACAGCTGGCAAAGTATGTAATGCAGCCTTGGAAATAAATTGGGGGGGGTGTTTGTTTTTTTTAAAATAAAAACACTTTATGGAAACTGGATTTTTTTAAAAGTAGTTGGTCAATGGCCAATGAGGAAGAATGAGTGGTGTTGTATTTGACAGACTGGATTTATTGGTGCCCCACACATGGGGCCCTGCAGCCACCATGGCTCTTACTGATGCGGGGTGAGAGCCCAGAGCACCCATGGGTGCAGTGGGGTGGTGGAGTGCACCAGCATGGGAGGGCTTGGGCACCTCGGAGCCTCACCTCACTCTGGGACTGTTTTACTTCTTTCACTGTCCAAATCATCTTCCTCTTCATATAGTGCATCCACTTCCTCCTCCTTCCCCTCTTCCTCCTCCTCCCGAGCCAGCAGTTTCTTGAAGACCTCATACTCCTCTGCGGTAGAGCAGGCCAGGTTGGCCACGAAGTCTTTCTCCGGGAGCTGAAGGATGTCCTTCAGTTTTGGGTTACTGGTTTGTATCTGCCCTTTGTATGGGGTCTCGTAGAGCCCCCGGCGCTCTAGGAAGATGTGCCGGTTCCGGAGCTCGGCAAAGGGCATTTGGAAGAGTCGAGCCTTCACCATCTCCTTCTGCCGGACCCCCATTCTGAAGTAAGCGTACTGCGGGCGGGACGGGGGGTGTCAGGCACAGCCCCATCCCCGCGGCAGGCTCCGGCAGGGAGGGGGAGATGCCGATCCTCACCTGGAAGTGGTGATGGAGGCTGCGCGGCTCCTCCAGCAGGACGGCGGGACAGGTGCCCAGCACGTCCCGCAGCTGCTCCGCCGTGAAGAGGCAGCGCTCCCGCAGCAGCCGCACCGCCGCCGCCAGCCTCTTCCGGGGCACGGCGAAGAGCTGGGGGCAGCGGCTCACGGCCCGCTGCAGCCGACCTGCGGGCACAGGGTCAGCGGGCCGGCCCGAGCCCCGGCGTGCCCCCCAATCCTCCCAGCGCCGCCCTACCTCCGTCCAGCCCCAGGCGCCGCAGCTCCTCGGCGCGCTCCCGCAGCCGCTCCGTGGGCAGCCGCAGCAGCGCCGGGCTCTGCTCCAGCAGCGCCAGCGCGGCCTCGGCGCTCAGCCCCAGCAGCAGCAGCTGCGCCGCCGCCGCCTCCCGGCGCTCGGGGTCGAGCCGGGGCTGCAGCCCCTGCAGCCGCCGGGCCTGCTCCTGAGTGAAGCCCATGGCCCGCAGCGCCGCCGCCTCCCCGCAGCCGCGGCGCGGGCACGGCCAGGGCGCAGCTCCGAGGAGCGCCCGCCCCGCCACCACCACCGCCCGGCCGGCCCCGCACGGCAGCGGCAGCGGCAGCCCCGCCATGGCCCGGCCCGGCCCCGCGCGGAGCGGGCGGGAGGGCCCCGCCGCGCTGCTCCGCCCCCGCCGCCCTGGCAGCGCTGGGAACCAGGAGGAGCGGCCGGGTCAGAGCCAGGCGTGGCCCTGTCGGCCTGTGCCTACCCCGGCACGAGGGGTGCCTTGCTCGGGGCAGAGCTGAGCGGTACCGCGGGCGGAGCGCCTTGCGCTGCCCATGGCCTGCAGAGGCGATGCCCGGGTCATCTTCCCGGGCCGGAGCCGAGGTGCAGCCCCACTGCGGTGCTACAGAGCAGTGTACCGTGAGGGCAGCTAGTGAGGAGTTCGGATGGAGACAGCAGGGTCCAAAGATGGATTCAGAGCTAATCTTTAGTAATTTACGTGGCTTTAAGCTGAGTCCTGTTGCTTCTCTGCAAAGCTGCAGCTGCAACCGGCAGAACTGCTGCCTCTCCCACCACTTCCTCACAAGCAGCCTAACCCTGAGCTGCACCCCGAAATGCTCCTGTTACCTGTGTCTCAATCAAATTCTCTTTATTGAATCTATTTTTTCTTTCCAACATCTTTGTCTCATCAAAATCAAGGACTACATTCCTGGCTATAGAGAGGACTCTGACATAAAGAAAGGACACCACCACCCCAGTCCCCCACCCCCAAATCATGATTATATGTCTGGTTTTAAGGCTCCTTTGCACACAAATACTCCAGAAAACACCCAGAGGTGTTATCACTAATTTATTCATTCACTTTTTAGAAAGATATAAAAACTACATATAAAAAGTAAAAGCAGACAATAAATATATATTCTGAGTTATGGACAGTTTGAACAACATTAAAATCTTGGCCTCACAGGTTTGAAGCACGTCCTGAGTAAGAACACTAATAAACTGTGCACACATGGGTATCAGCAGGTGACCTTTGGTTGGGAACTATCCCACTAACACTGTTCAGATTTCTATAGATCACTGCTGGATGAAGAAGCCTTCAGGAGGTCTCACCTGGCACAGCAGAGATGTACACCTCTTCCCAGGTGTAATCAGCCAGGTTCACAGGTTGCCGCAGCCAAGGATCCTCTGCCAGCACAGCTAGAGTCATGCGCTGCTCTGGAATGGGGTGCAGAAGCCCAGCCATGAGATCCATGAGACCTGGGCAGAGACAGCACAGGGATGGCTCAGGCTGTATTTTAGGCAGGCTGGGAATGTGAGATATGATTTATATTCAAAGATTGACAAATCCCCCAAACTCTGCTGCACTGAGCAGCTTTTAAAGTCATCACAGAGCACATTGGGGAGTTTCTTTTCAGGCTTCCCCTTTACTTGTGTTGAAAAAACACTGCTTATACTTCCCCACTCCTTTAAAAAAGCAAATGGAAAGAGCTTACCATCTGACACGGGGCGAGGAGGATTCAGGACAGCTGCCAGGGCCTCCTCCAGCTCACAGAAGGGATTCTCCCCAAGCACCAAGGTGTAAAGGGTGATGCCAAGCGACCACATCTCCAGCTCAGGGCCACGGTACCTGTGCAGAGATAAGCTTGCCTAAACTCAGATTGCAAGTATATACAAAAGTATATGCAAAAAGAGTAACAACAAAAAAGGAGGTTGACAGCCCTTGTGCCCAATTTTTATTTTAACACAGGAAGTTTGTGAGAATTCTAAGCAGGTTCTCATGTGTTTGAGGAGTCTGCATTATCCTTCTCCAGGAAATAAAACCACCACAGAATGGCCAACCAGTTTCTGTTGATGAGTGTGTGTAACGTGCACCCAGATTTCCACACCAGTAAGCTGGTGACAAGAGAACTTACCCCTCCACCTTCTTCACCATAAGCCAAAACTATCAAGTAAATATTTAACTGGAAGAGCAAACAGGTCCCCCCAGCCCTTTCAAAACAAAAAAATTCCATTTGAGAAAACATGACAGTTCTATCACACAGTAACAGGGAGAACTCCCAGGGCAGAGCTGCTTGCTTCGCCTTCCATCTCATTCCCAGTGGGAATTTCCTCTCCTCCTGTCATTGCTTGTTCCCCCTACCCTGTTATGAGGAGCTGCCTGAAGGAGCAATGAAAACAGCAGTGAAGGTGGGAGCAAGATACATACAGGCACATACAATTACTGCAGGCACCACCTTGGGATGGGGAGGTTTCCTCGTGGATCGGGTACAGGACTGCCAGCTGCCAGGTACAGAGTACTTGGAGAGAGAAAGGACAGGGAAGAGATAGCCAAGATTCGGGCAGCACATCCAAAACAGCAGCAAGAGAAGTTGCAAGGGAAGAACCCTCGAGTCCCAAGGAGCACAAAAATCAGTGGGGAGATGAACAAGGATTCAACTGCAAAGATTCAAGTACAGGGAAGCACGTAGGAAAGGAGAGAACACACAAGATGACAGTGTGAGAATACAAGGCACAGACACATGAAGAGCAGGTGCTATTGACAGCAATACTTGCTTACACCACCTGTCTAGAAGAGCAGCTTTTGGTAGAGAAGGCCTGACAACAGACTTAGAAACAACTTTGTACATATTCAAGCTTTTACAGCTGATTTCTGTCACCACAGTGCCCTACTTTGTATGCACTCAAATTTTCACAAAGGATTTCTGTCACTGCAGTGCCTTGAATCTCGCTGCAGTTTCCTGTGGTTAGATACTCTAGCAGAGTTCCAATGGCACAGCAACTTGGCTTCTCTGTTCCAGCCTTGCACACATGGGCTTTTGGTGTGATGGCACAAAAATAGCTTTTCAGAGGGTTACATACGGTTTGCCAGACAGCACTTCTGGTGAGCAGTATTCAATTGTCCCACAGAAGGTATAAAACAATTTCCCAGGTTCCAGGTAAGCAGCTGAACCAAAGTCCACTAATTTAATTGTGAAATCTGCAGCAATGACAATGTTTTCATCCTTGATATCTCTGTGAAGGATGTTCCTACAGTGGAGATACCCAACAGCTGAGACAAGCTGAAAGAGGAGCAAAGAACTAGGTGTTACTACATGGAGGTGTCCTGGATAATCGACGTGGCATCACAGTGTTCCAAGAGTCACATTTCAGCTTGTTTTGACACTATCTAAACAATACATACATCCTAATTATGGTAACTGGAAATGATCCCAGGTCCTCCTGTCAGCATTGCTGCAGTGGGTGCTGCAATGCTCTTGGGAGAGACAAATACAAAAGGCTTTTCTTGCTTTCCTCTCACAAATGTGCAGGAGGAGGGGATGCTGCAGTCATGATGTGATCATTTTTTTTGGTGAGAAGCTTCAGAGCTCACTGCTACAATCCTGTAGGTTACTCTATTTTTATCCCAGCTTCACTTGGAGGGTCTTTTGGCTTCCCCAGAAAGATATTACTGTGCACCTCCCATACTGCAGGATGACAAAGCATTTAAGAGTACAGTTTGGTATAAATAATAGAGTCACTCCTCAATTCCATTCCTCTTCCTGCACAATTCATGCATTAGTGCCATAATTAAGGATAGCATCAGAATGATACTACCTTGGAGACATTCGTGATCCCTACAATGCATTTAACAAGAAAAGCAGATGGCTGAGGGAGAAAAGGTTCTATTTATAATCCTCCGCAGAGAAATGCTGTACAGATCTGAGGAAACAAGGCAGCCCTACAAACTGCAGGCTGCGTTAGAGAAAGGGCTGATCCATCACAAGGCTAAAGGGACATCAATACCTCAGATGAGGGGAGGGTGGGCACAGCAGGGATGTGGGGGGTTGAGCATGTGCTTAGCTATTCCTGCATACCACAGAGCAAGGAATTTACTCCAGAACTCAGGAGGGGGTGTTACTTGGGGCCTGCTGCTGTGGTTAACTCTCTGAACAAAGGACAATTCAGCTCTCAATTCACCTGCTGGGCACCTTCCTGACCCACAGGAAAACTACCCTGAGTTACTTTGCATTATGCCGCTTTAAAATCCAAGAGAATTTCTTGATTTAAAGAACAGATCCCTTTACCCCTATAACCAGTCTAAACAAAGAGCTGAACTAAGTGAAAATGTGGCTTTTGTGGAGCTTGGGGCAGCTTCTGTGAGCTTCCTTCCTCCCTCAGAGAAAGTGTGACTGCTACATGAATGGCATCCTGGTGACAGGGGCTGTGTGCTGCCCCAGTCACAGCTGAGGGGCCGTGGTTCCACTGGAAACCCTTACAGGCAGTAAGGTCCTGCAAAGGTTTCTCTGTTACAAGTTTCTAGGTAAACCTTAACAAGGTTTCTTCAGGCAGCGTTTCAATCAATCCTACACACTAATGAGGAAAGCTTCTGCAGGTATTGAACACGGCTCCAATTCAGCACACCAGCTGATTAGCCAGTATGAAGTGAAACAGGGCCCTGGTTCTTATATTAACCAAATCTTACCTGCATGTAGCATTTGTGCTCTCACCTGTCTGAATATATAACTCGCTAATGGCTCATCCAAGTTGGGCTGATTATCAATGAATGTAAAGAGATCCAGACCAGAGCCATGCTTCTCCATCACCAGCTGGAAAAAGCACTCATTTTCAAATACATCCAGCACCTATAAATAACAGACTGGTTTAATCATGTGCTTCATCCTCAAACAGCCTTTTTTTTTTTAAGCAAACACTGCTCTTCTCTTGGAGATTTAATTGATGTATATTATAATCTTCAAGGTCTCATTTCACTGAGCACAAATGTTTCTTGAAAAGAGTACAGAGCTAAAACCGAGAGCAGAACTAAACCTAAGAGGAATTTGCTTTCTGAGGAAAAAACACACGACCCCCAAACCAAAACCAACAACCCCAAACCAAAGAGGACGAATCAAGATATGTATCCAGATTATTTACTGAACGAATACATGTTCAGATGTGACATCACACTTCCAAGATATGCATATTACCATCTTGAAATAGCGTACAGGCTTTTTTTCTGTTAAGAGTCACATCTTCAGATCAGTTTGGGGTAAAAGTGTCAAAGCAAGTGGTAGTCTGCTGTGACACACACTCCTAAACAAAGCAGGATAGATAGGTTCCTTTTTTTCCCCACAAAGGCAGATTCAGTACAGGATACTTCACTCCTGAAGAGGAACAGGAGACACCAAGTATTCAAAGGAACCACCTGATGCAGTGCAAACGGCATTCACTCCAAGTCACTGTACCTTAATGATACTGGGGTGCTGCAGCTTCAGCAGGATTGCAATTTCTTGAGTGACCCTCCCCAGCTCGGGATCATCTACCCAGCAGTCCTCCAGCACTCTCTCCTTCCAGATGAACTTCACGACAACCTACACAGACAACAGCATTCAGCATCACCTGCAAAAGCACCGCTTTGAGTGTCAGGTAAGTTAATTTCCAGGAACTCTGTTAGTCACTCATATTAACTAGAAGGCTGGAAGTAACCCAATGTGAACAGCTATATTATCTTTAAAGATTTTTAAAGCAATTTAATCCTAGAAGCCAAATGATGCACATAAATGCACATATTTATTGCTGTTCTGAATTCCAAAGGCTTTGACAGGCCAGCTGTCTTATCAACCAGTTACAGCAGTGGTGGCACACGAGTACAATGGAGGGAAATGAGCACTTAACATCCATGCAGAGAAACACCAGAGCTTGCTGATACTTCTGCTGATAAAGAGGAGGATGCCGTAACATAAACATCTCTACTCCATATCCTTGAGTCATGGCACAATAAAGACTTTGAGGTTTGCCATTTTCTTTAGTAACAGAAGACTAAAACCTGTAATTCTGTTAAGCCTAATGTTAATTTCTTTCAACAGGTTCAATTAGCTACATTCATCAGTTCATTAGCTCATTCTGCACCTGTTGTCTCACATTCATACATCAGTGCAAATGTTTTGCTGTGCTGTTTCCATGAGGCTTGCTTTTTCAGATTTCTATTTAAATGAAGCAAAACCCCAAACTACCAAACAGAAGCTTCTAACAGTGTAGTGTTGACAGAATATGAACACCCTAACCTTTCAGTTTTCATCCCAAATAATTATTGCAGTAGAGCTGAAAGAAATACTTCACCTCCTGATGATCTTTCTTGCCCCTGGCAGTCCAGACAAAGCCAAAAGCGCCTTTGCCAATAAGACTGAGAGTGCTGTAATTTTTTGCATATTCTCCCTCACAAGCTCTTAATCCTTCAAGTTCTTCAGCTCTTCGGGAATTATTGAAAAGTGAAGTTGATCTGCTGGCCTAGGTACATATAGATAGGTAACAACAGCAAAAAAAAATGAGCAAGTCACGGAATCTTGTTTATAAAATGAATAAATACTGAAAAGAACATACAAATCTGCAAGAATTGCTAAAAGGTGAAATCTTTGGTTCTGAGAGTGAGAACTCTATGTTGATACAATCGTCACCAGACAAGTTAAGTACAGGTCTAATCTGCAGTACATTTCAATACACAGCAGCTCCTTAGAGTCTCCTGCAGATCGGAACTGTGTTGTTCAGGTTGGAAAGCTACACTAAACTACACTAAACTGCACACCAGAAATGTTACAACATAGCAATTTGAAACTTTTTTCTTTTTAACATAAAAGTAGGGAAACAAAGAAACAGCAATATGCACCCCTCCACCTCATAACGTTAATTTGAAAAACTTTTTCAACTTCAAATTAACAATCAAACAAGGAAAGAAATGCTCAGTATTCAAAGGCAGGATTTCTTACTTCTCCAAGACTGTTTGTAGAAAGATCAGCAACAGACTGGGCAGAGCTTGCTAGGCTGGAGAGCAAAAGCTGGGTCTTTGCTACAGCTTCCTTCTGGCTCTGCGAAAGGTCTTTCACCACCCAGACACAGAAAAGTGCAGTGGGGTCCTGCAGTTCTGCACATTTCACCTCAAAGAGTACACCTGTAGGAACAGGTGAGGAAGTTAAAATGGTAGAATGCAACCTTAGCGTTTAACAAGACCACAGACATTTTAGGACAAAATTCTGAGCTCTGAACAAAGAGCAATTCATTTGGGGAACACCTTCTCAGTAAAGAATCATCAGAGGGGCTGACGCCAGCATAGCTATTCTGGAGGTACCTCTCAGCTACCTCCACAGTTCCCACCTCCAGCAGAAGCTTTTGTCAGTGTCCAATTGTGATTATTCATTTTGCATTGTTATTCTAAATTACATAAAAATGGAGCTTTTACAGCTTTACAGTGGAGTTTGTATTTTCTGTTCAGAAAAAGTTATCAGGTTCAAACTTTTTAATTGTGTTCTAAGAATATTTCTGACTCTTCAGTAGGGATTAATATCTTAACTTTGTATTTTATACCACCTCCATTTCTAATACCCTCTGAATAGACTTAAATACCAGTTTTTCTTCTAGATGCTCCTTCCCTTCTCTCCACTGTGAGCTTCTAACCAGAACTGTCTGCCTTCTGCAAAAATGTGGTTTAAAAGAGCACCCTGATAAGAGTCTTGGGAAGGGGAGAAGGTTTAACTTACTGAACTGTGAACCGTCTCTGTGACAGCAATTCCCAGTGTAGCTGCCTTCCAGAATCTCCCAGGTCAAAGGAGCTGCTGGATTCAGCCTTCCTTCTCGTTTCACCGGGGTTGATGTTACTTTTCTCTCCATGTTTTGCTGCCTCTGGCAGGTCAGCCACCCAGAACCAGCTTCTGTGGTAACACCACTCAGCAGCTGCTTTCCTTGGCCAGTGGAAAAAGCGCTGTTTGTCTCAGTTAGCACATTGGAGTCCTCTGCATCAGACGAGCATGCTCCTACAGGAGCTGCAGTAACACCTAAAAAACTGTCTGAGTTCCCCTTGACACAAGTATTCAGACCCAGTACCTCAAGACCAGAGCAAATACAGTTCAGTTCAGTGTCTGATTGTTTAACATCTTCAGAGATTGTGGCAACTCCCGGTGCAGAAGCACTGTGACCCGTTTTATTTCCTGAACAAACATCACAGACAGTATTTCTTTCATGTGCAAAGCAGGCTGGAGCATCATTTGGCAGGCAGTTTTCAACAACAATGTGCTCAAGGCTGGAATGCTCTGCGTCACACCTCGAGTTTGTTTTTGACACCTGACCTGTAACCACGTGGCTTTGAAAATCTTGTCTGCAGTCCAGTGCTGTCCCAGGCCATGGCTCATCCATTGTTGGTGTTCCAGGTGAGTTACAGGTAACATCAGAAGGCAGCTTCACTGGGCCATAGGATGAGGTATTTGGAATGTCTTCTAGCCTAGAACTAACAGGCAACCAGAGAGCATCTTTTGAGAATTATCTGATCCTGAAGTTTCCACTGCTCTACACTGTTCCACTGCTCTGATCGTGTCAAGGCAGGTTTTGGGATAAGGCTCTCTGGTGGACTGACAGCCCATCAGTAAGCAAGGCTGTCCTCATTGCAAAGATTCAAAGTTGTCAGCAACATCATGATGCCAAAAGAATGAGAAAACTGTCCTGCTGTATCCTACTCTTGTTACTATGGTCACTATTTAAAACTTGCACCGATTGTTTTAAGTTTGAAAGAAAAAGGTAGAAAGCTGTTGGCACAGGCATCCAAAATCCTAACAAATTTTCCAAAGAAGAGCAGGTACACTCAAACGGCACTCTTTCCCTATGGATAATTTCCTTCTCTAGCTTAATTTCTAAATATAGATCACAAATCATTTGTCATCACAAAAAAAGCCAATACATGTGGCAGGATACTTCCAGTTTCGAGAACAGGAGATCCATTGTCTGTCCAACAGAAGATGGATGTCCCCATCCATCAGTTTATCCAGGGTTCACTGAAGCCCAAGGTATTGCACAAGGTGTTTTGCAAGCATCTCCATCAGTAAAAAAGCAGAGTAGAAAAACAATGGAGCAGAGCACTTACAATCCAAGTATGACGTGAGAGACATAAATCCAGGAGAGCACCAACAATGAGACTGTCAGTCTCTTTAAAAAGCAGCAAGAATGGTGCTGTAATAGTCTATATCTTAAAATGGACAGCAAATACTTCTCAAGGGTTAGAATTTTTAATGTGGAAGGCTTAAAATTTGACTTGCAGTAAACCATGAGCATCATATATGTACTTGTACAGAATTTCTAACCTTGTAACAGGAAAAAGACCTGGAAAGGTAGAATAAAAATGACTGGACTTTAGTAACACAGTACTCTGTTTTAATGGATGACCTGACAGTTACACTGAGCCCCAAAAGGAATAACATTTAAAATTCACTCCAGGTAATCTGGCTTCAGTGCAACACCAGCTGGAAGGAGACAAACATTTGCTGTTTATGATCTCATGAAGGCAAAGCCTAATTACCTTCCCTAGTCTGGGTGAAACATTTGGTCCCTTTTAGAGGTGGAATTCCTGTAACTTTACAATGGTAGGTTGTGCAAACCAAAATAAAAATCTAAGGTAGGCAAAGCTCAGCCTGTCTTGCAAACAGCACTCAGATTCTAAAGACAGCAAAATGTGGAAGGCCCTTGTTACACCTTCCCACAGCTTGCCACCACAGCTCTTCATTTTCCCAAGTGAATATGCAGTCCATGAAATGCCTACCTATTAGTGGGGGTGGATGCCACTTCAGGAGGTGAGGGAGGAGAAAAGAAATTGGTGCCATCCTTTTGTTTATTCTTGTCATGTATTAATTTGTCATCTTTGCGTCTTTGTTCCAATTTCTGCTCTTCATCTCGTGACAGAAGGTGTGCTAAAGATGCTGCCAAGAAGCTGCTGTCTGTACCAAAGAGGAAACAAAATCATACCAACTTAACCTTTTATATTTAGTCTTCAGAGGCTACAGTGATTAAAAATAAACCTGGAACTGCCTTGGTCTGTCTTGTCCCTAAGGAATTGAGTATAAAAGACTTGATTAAGGCAAAACAGTCAAAATATGAGCATTCCACTTCATTTTTAGAAATCATCACATGCAGGAATCTACACATTTTAGGGCTGACAAAATCTGCTTTTCTATCGAAGCTCTTGAACAGGTATTGGTATCATGGGTTAGCAGCTTGAACTGAAGTTCAGAGACCTAAAAAAAGGCCAATAACATATAGAGACTGGAATTAAAATGATCATACAAGTAGCAGCAGCAAAAAAAAAAAAAAAGAAGTACAAACCACACACATATACTGTCCATTCCAAACACATAAAATTACAAGGTTTGTACTGGATTTATATAATTCACTGAAGTTGTAAGATAAAAAAAGTACACCATCCAAATATATTTGAAAGAACAAGACATAAAGTTCTTTCGTTTTCCAGTGACAACCGATCAGAAGAGAAAACATGAGTTTGGAAGATGAAGTAAACCAAGTATTGTTGCTGCAGAAGAAAGTAATGAGCAACGAGATTTGAATCTAGAACAATTCTTCCATTAGTAATACCTGAGTGTGCCAAGATTGCTTCCTCACTGAAGAACTGAATTATTCCTAGATTAGTGGCATCATTTTAAAGAATTACCTAAGAAACTGTCTAGGAACTCTTCTTTGTTCCAGTGGGGTGCTTTGGTATCAATGTAGATGAGCATTTCTGAGCAAAGAGAAAAAGAAAATGGGGAAAAACCCAAAAGGAGACAAAACCAGCAGAAGAGATCTCCTGCAATATGGATGAAAGCGTGCATTTATTCTCTGTGCTGGGCTGAGCTAGCCGGAAAGACGGATTTGGAAGCACGAGGCTTCCTTGCTTCTGTTTATTCCTGTTGTGTTTAGAGAAGTAAAATTTTGATAAATTTTTCATAAATGCAGCAAAATGCATCAGAAGAATATGTGATGCCTCCCTAACTGAAACACCAAAGCCACATAACATTGACTATTACCCAGCAACACAAGCCAATTCAGAAGAATATTAGATTTTCCCCTTAAAATATTGATCCTAAGCATCTACAGCTCTGCTGCAGTACAGTCACAAAAGCTGTACTTTACACATCTTAAAATACCGAAGGATCCTAGCAGGGGAGGGAGGGGAAGTGCTTTGTTAAATATAAGCATTCTCTATTGACAGTGTAACTTCCAGCTTGGATATCCAGTTTCATCTTCCTGGCAACGAAGAGAGAAGCACAATCTTAGGTGAATAATTCTCTTTACCTGAACTTATAGTGGAAACCCAGTTCAAAAACTGCATGGGGGGATGTTGCTTTTATGAAGAATGTTCCCATGTCTGCAGATGAACCTCTAGTCCCTGCTCTTTTTCCCTTAGTTACAGCAGCCAGAGCCAGCTGTAGGGCAGGCAGTAACACCTTCAGAGAGGCACTCACCCTCTGTCCCCGTGGAGTCGTCCAGAGGAGGTAAAGGCAAAGAACACTCACTGCTTCTCTCCATGTTGTTATAGAAACCAGGGATCAGGAATGTAATGTTCTAAAACAAAGAATGAAACCTTATAAAACTAAGCCAGCTCTCACAGGGTGGGGGCAAATGCTAACAATCTGTGTTTGTGAACCTGATTCTCATGGATAGCCAGGCAAAAGTGATCCACATGACTAATGGAGAAAATAGGATTGTGCAGTTTGCTTTGGGCTGCTTGAATTCCATATCTATAGCTCCTTAGCACTGCAAGTCTTAGCAATTACAGCACAGGATTGGTGCTGTATCATCCTACACCTCACTGACCAAATACAAGGAACACAGGTTTTGTCACAAACAAGGAGTGTAAAAGACAACTTCACAATTCCAGTGGATATGCTGCCAGACATAGCAGTCTTCTGGGAGGGTTTAAGCCTCTTATCTTACCTTTCCCAACAGTTCTTTCTTCTCATAGCCAAAGAGCATTAAAGCAAAACTATCGTTGATGCCACAGATGATTCCATCTGACTGGACAGTAATAAGACCACTGATGGTGGAGAAAACCACAACTGTAGCAGAGTACTGACAGCCTGGGAGAGAGCCTTCTGCCTGCAGAATCCCATCCTTCTGCACCCTTCCTTGGTCCTCCTCCAGAAGGCTGACTTGCAGCTTTAAACTGAGAGGAAACACGTTACCCTCTCTGGATCGGCCTACAGCTCGCTGGGTCCTGAGGGTCTAAATTAAAGCAAAAAAAACCCACAAACAACCAAACAAAACTCAAACAGAAAACCTCTAACTAACCAAATGTTTTGGCTTTATTCCAGAATTCATATAAAGTGACACAGGCATTCTTAGGAAAAAGGAGTAGGAAAAGAAAAATGAACCAAACTTGTGAATATCTAAATGAGCAATATCTGGTTTTCTAAGGATTTGGAACCTAGTGTTGAACTCCTATATAAATATCTGGATGATGAAGATCAGTCCATACTGCAGCTTTTCAGCAAATTAGGCATTCATAAGAAGGCCTCTAAACTCCCTAGATGCCCAGTTTCATGGCATTTTCAAGATCTGGGTATTCTTTCACTCCTCAGACAGACATGATTAAAACGGACTAAAAAATTCAAAGGAACCTTAGAGGGCTTACAGAGACAGCACAGTGTCCTAAAAAACCACAGTACTGGAGAAAAGTGTCTTTCTCCAGGACAGATTCCACAGTGAGAGGTCAGGGCTTGGTCTCATTCCTACTTGGGAACTCTTCAGACAGCAGCTCCACAAATGAGCAGCAAACCCTTTTCCAGGGGATTTAGGGTTCTCTCTGAAAAGGCTGTTTCCTGTTTCATGAAGAGTGAAAACAGCATGCACACGTGTTCCAAGTGGGCAGGCTATGGAAGACTAAGGTTGGTGCTTATACTGTACCTTTGGGATTTTTTTGCCTAGAGGAGGGATCTGCACAGAAGGAATCAGGTCCTTTATGTGGAGCCCAACTATTTCTTCCGATGTTGGGTAGCCATGGAGATGGGCAAAAAGGAGGTCACATGATGTAATCTCTCCCTTGGGAAGAAAATTTTACAGGACTGTTAAAATTTTAGCATTTTAGCCACAGTCCACTCAATCCTTTGACAATTGTTTCTGTAAATATCTAAGCAACGGAAGGAAATTTCATTCTGCAGTCCCCTGGTGGACACAACTCGCTCCGTAAAAGCAGACACAGCATAATGCAATACTCTGACATCACTGTGCAAGGAGCCTGCCCTTTCCCTGGGGAAGAGGCAGGGGAGTCCAGCACTCCTCACAGAATGTTCCTCAGCAAGCTGATCCCTTCACAAGAGCATCTGTGTCACAAATAACCACCCCTCTGCCAAACTGCTCCAGTCCCTGGAGGAGAGACAGCGTATCTTTATGTGGGTTGCAAAACACATCAAGGTGAGCCACGTGGGAGATCCGTGCACAGGTCCTGCAAGCACAATCCCAGTTTCAGGCTCTGCTGTGGACACACTCCATGTTCACAAACAGCAATCTGTGCCTGCTGCCTTTGGGATACGTTTGGCTCACACATAAACTCTCACAGATTACAATGTCATTCGACTGTTAGGAAAACACTCACATCAGCCCTGAAGCAAACAGAAGCTGAAAGTCTTTCCACTGGTTCCAGCACAACCACACAACGCTGGGTGTCCTTGCTTCTTATTTGCCTCTGCCAGACTGAGACGGGGATCTTCTGGTTGAGGCGGCCTGTAACATCCATCTTCCCCCAGGAATCAGAGATGGACACATCACTTACTAAGACTGTGGTTACTTAGCAAGAATTTCAAAGAAGAGTAAGATATTGAGGTAAGGTATCTCCCTGCCATTGTTAGAAGAATGTTGTTTCTTGACTACTTTTTATTATTTTATGAGAAGAAACAGTTTTAATACAGAGATGAAAAGGTCTGAAAATAAACCACTGATCATACACAAAACGTTACTTGGGTATTGTCTCTCCTTGCCTGAGGAAGACTGAAGTTATTTCCTTCAGCAGAATAAATGAGCCACTCTAGCACCTTGCATTTAGTGAGAAGTGCCTCTCAGAGATGCCTCTCAGGATGCCCAGTGGTGCTAAAGAACACTCCCCATTAGTAACACAGTTCTTACTTTGAGATGCAAAAAACAGTGGTTTAACTTCTTATGGGAGTAGATTCTCCTCAGATCAGAAAATGTTTATTTATCTTATAGCCTGCAAGGTTTATATCAAGCCTTTTATGTGATCTTGACAGAATGGGTTTACGAATTATGCAGTGACTCCTATAAAGCACTTGGAATGGCTTGGAATTAGTGCCTTTACCAGATATTTAATTTTAATCTTGGGTTTCACTGAATCAAACATTTTTTTCTTTCTCCCCCCATATCAAACTGAGGATTCAGGAAGATGAAGCTCTAAGATACTGACAATTTCAGTACAAAAATAACACACCAGGAAGAATATGAGCTCATTTTCCAAGGATTTTCTACTGACAGCTCAGAACAGTAGCAAAAGGAAATAATTTTGAGACATTTCTAATGCACTTCTCTTACAAACAACCCCATTCTAGGACAAATATCCATTCTATTCTTTTACACAAAACTATGGTGTTTTGGCACCAACACTTCACTGGCTCGTAACTTTATAATATGCACAATGCAACTTAAGATAATTTATAATATATTTTTAAGGGCCAGACGATTGGGAACTTTTCCATAATAGACTTTTTCCATCTTAAGCAATTCTATTGATTTAAGTTTTTTTAAAATCTAATGTGCTTTAAGTTCTGATTTGGTCAAGTTATGGTTTAAAAGTTTGCAGATGTGTGAATTCAAGGGGATAAAGATGGTAGGGAATATTTCCTTGAACATTTCACGTACCACAGTTCCTGAAAGCACCGATGACCATTCATAAGTTTCTAGGTACTCCTCACCCACAGCTTCCCACACCTCTTGACTGGGTTTGGATATCAAGTGGGACAGCTTTTGGCCAATGAGTTCCTGACTGCTGCACCCAAGCAGCTTGCAGGCTCGATCATTAGCCACTAAGATCTAGAAAAAAAAAACCAGAAACAAAACAAAACAAAGAATAAAAGCTGTAAGTTTTGTTAATAGGCCATCATGTCCTCAGGTTACTGTTTTAATGTCTTGTAATATCCCTTCCTCTTCTTGAAAATGGACCAGTTCTTTAGAATTCTGGGTTTGTTAAAGTTTCTTAATCTAGGACATTACTTGCCCACATATCTTCTTGGTTAGGAGGTTTTGAGACGTTGCTTTCCATTTAGGTTTCCTGCTCTCTTTTAACTGTAAATAATTGCATCCATGGAAGCAAAACTACAAAGCTGTACTTGCAAGCAAAGCCTAGGCAAGCCACAAAATCATATCCAGCCTCTAAGGTGTGCAGTGATCATACCAGTCATCGACACACTTGAGCCTGTGTTCACAGAGCAAGTCAGGATTAAATGCCTTTAAGATGGGTAAAACCGAACTGTCAGTTCAAGCTAAAAAATGGCACAGACCTTTTGAAGTTTTCAGGACTCAATTTTAGATTCCTTTCACGACAGAAACAGAGAACTACTTCCCAACATAAAAGGCATATTTACTGGGGCAGATAAAGAGACTTTGAGCCACCACAAACACATCCCAGGCTTGGTACTTTACAGAGGAGAGGCTTGAAGCACATTCTGCTGTTGCATTCTTCCCTCATGCCACTACATAGCTGCATTCTTATAGAATCATAGAATAATTTGGGCTGGAAGGGACCTTGAAGACCATCCAGTTCCACTCTCCTGCCATGGGTAGGGATACTTTCCTGTGGAACAAGTTGTTCCAAGCCCTGTCCAACCTGGCCTTGAACACTTCCAGGAATGGGCAGCCCACCTCCCGGGGCTGTTTGAAATAAGACTCGAGACATCCACGCTTCTGCCATTACCTTGTATATTTTTCTAACTACGACTTGCAATGGAAATAAACTCATTGTCAGTCTTTGGAAGACTACTGAGCTGGAGCAGACTACAAAATGCCTTCATAGCACTCTGATTACACGTAGGAATAACAGCCATTTTAGCCTGTCTGATGTCACACAACCTGCACCAGTTACAGAGAGCTCAGTGCAGCAGGCAGCCCTGCAAATACCTCTGTTGTGCTGGCGTCCACGGTGAAGATGGCTTTGTTTGGGTTGCGTGCAGCAGCTGGGAGGTGCTGGCTGGATTCCTCCACAGCAGGGGCGTGCAAAAAGGAGCAAGAAGCAGAGCTTGCAATGGAAATGGAGAGAGAGGCGGAATCCCACTGAGCCCATGAGTTACCAGTTTTGCTGGAACAAATGTTACGAGCTGTCAGTGAGGACAAACAGTAGGAGCTCCATTTCTCCCCTAGGAAAAGAGAAAGATCAGAAATGCAGCTGTAACAGGAGTGTCAGAGGAATGAATTAAAAAAATAAAACAGGGACACTCCTAATAAATGTATCTTTTGGAATCACAGCCACCAGAACATGTAAAATCAGTCCACAGACTAAAAAAACTTGCCAAGGTCCATAAGTTTCAACCAGCCTACTTAACTTTCATTTTTCACTCAGCAGATTTTAAAATGTTTTGAAATCTTTCAAATTAAAGAAGAAATGGTTATTAAATAATTGCAGTAGGTGCTGAAGCCCTTATTAAACACTGCATTTGTCAGAAACCAGTTAATTAGCTGTTTACACCAAAATACCTCTGCCTACACCAATGTTTCAAGCTACACAATGCCAAGTGATTGTACAAAAATTTTCAAAGGTTTTGCCTGTAAAGAACATTTCTCTCAGAAGGGGCATGAGCAGACAAACACCATCACTCCAATCCCAAATCAGTAAGGAGCTTTGAAGGTTTAGCAGTACTAGAAGAAGCATTATGAACAACTCATCACAAGGACATTTCTGCATTTATGCAGTGCACACAGTATGAACACACCACGATAAAACAAGGAGACCTGTGTCTGGACACACTGACAGATTCCAGTATAACAACATTTTTCTCCTCAGTTGGAAATCTTTTGTGGTTTAGATAATTATACAGGTTGGCAGGGTGGTCTGATGGCAGGCAATAAAAGTTGCCCAGGGACAAGTACAAGTGCAGAGCACCTATCCAGTAATACTTCCCCTGTAAACTCCTAGCCTGCAGTAATCCACCACTCAGGTGCTTACTGAACAAGTGTCACCTCTAGGTTTGGGGAAGGGGAGGAGGAAGATCTGAAAGCTCCATGGGAACTCAATCTCTCAATACAATGCTCACCAGACAGAGATGCTCTAAGCCGACAGAGTCCAGAGAGACGACTTTTCCTGCTCTTGTTGCCCCAGGGGTAGGATCTACTTAGCTTATCGGAATCATTCAAGCAGGTAAGGACTAAACCCGTTGATGAAGGCAGGCGGCCCCCTTCAGAGGCGCTATAAGCCTTGGCTGCCATGATCCCGCTCTGGTTGCCACGCCACACCCAAGGAGCTGCAACAGAAACAGAGGGGATTGAATCAGCCTCGCGGGCTGGCACTGATGCTCACAGGTAGCCCTGTAATTTACAGCAATACACTCATTCCCTGTGTGTCCTGATCGGTGTTTGGTCTGTGCGGTGACTCGGTTGACTTATCGTTCTGCCCTGCTGGTGCAGGACAATTGTGACCGACATGTCTCTGCCAGGTCTGCTGAGCACCCACCCAGCACCCTCTCCCCGTTCCGGCCGGTTTTAGGAGCAAAAGCTTTGGCACTCTGGGAAGTCACTCCTAGTTTTGAATCAGCAAGTGTGGCACAGCCTTCCTCCCTCCCTCCCTCCCCCCGCCAGAGCGCTGCCCGGGCCCCTGCGGCCCCACCACGACCACACAGCGCGGCACGGTCCGGCCCGGTCACGGTCAGGTGGGGTGCGGCCGACGGGCTCAGGTCGCCGCCACGGCCACAGGTCGCCAGGGGGCGGGACACAGCAGCCACGCCAGCCAATGAGCAAAGGCGTTGTGGAGACAGGCACGGAGCGGAGCCAATGGAACGCCAGCGCGGGAGAAGGCAAAAGAGATTTGCGTCTCCCGCCTCACCCTCCCCTTCCCCGCCGCCGCCGCCACACGCGGGGCCCCGCGCCCCGGGCTGCAGGCCCGAGGCAGCACGGCCCACCTGCTCCGGGGCGGAAGGCTGCAGGTGGGCAGCGATCCTCCGAAGGCTTTGCAGGCGGAAACGCGCAACGCGTCGGGCCCGAGGCGCTGGTGGGGAGGGAGCGGGTCCCCGGACGCCTCCCGCCCTGCCCGTGGGGAACTACAGCTCCCAGGAGGCCGCGGGGCGCGCTGGCGCGCGTGCGCGCGAGGAGGAGGCAGAGGCGGGGGCGCTGCCCTGCCCCCTGGGCGCTCAGCCTGCAGGTGATTGGCTGCGGCGCGGCGCCAGCGGCGGGCCCTGATTGGCTGTGCGGGCGGCGGGGGCGGTTTCCGGAAGCGGCGGCGGGAGGAGGAGCGCGATGGCGGCGGAGAGCGGAGCGGGCCCGCAGGAGATGATGGAGGGTGAGAGCCCGCGGCGCTGCCGCGGCTGCCGCGGGGGCTGGGGCGGCGCGGCTGGCTGCTCGGGCGCCGCCGCCTGGCGAAAGGGCTGCCAGCTGCACGCCGACGGACTTTTGGCCCCCCGCGTCCGGGCAGCCCCCGGGTGCCCACCCCGAGAGCCGCTGGCCGCGGGGCCGGGCCCTGGCGGGGCCGCCGGGCACGGGGGGACGGTGTGGGTCACCAGGGCATGGCGTGGTGCTTCCCCCGGGCCCCCCCCGTGGGGTTCCGTGCGCCAGGGGAGGAAGGAGAAGGGTTGCGGAGGTGACTGTGACATAAAAAATAAAGATAATTAGAAAGAAACCAACCTTCTGACTGGCACTGGTTTTCCTGAGTCCCCCGATGAAAGGAGAGCAAATACTGAGGGGGGGACGAGGAGGAGCGAGGAGCTTCAGGTCCCAGGCCCAGGGTGGCCACCGGAGCTGTGGCTCTGTAAATATGAAGGGATCTATCAGGTTGTTGTGGGGAGACTGTTGCCTTTATCTGCAGGGATTTTTTTATTGATGCCTTCACTTCTTCGTGTCATTGGTACTATTGTACATGATACTGATTTTTTTTCCTAAAACCTTTTAAAAATGTAATAGTTCTGATTCCATCTCCGTAATCTTTGGAATTGCACTTAATTGATCTAAGAAATTTCCTTTTTCCTCCAGTCTTCTTCCCAGATTGTTGGTTTTAGGAAGATGTGATGGGAGGAAAAAGTGCATCCAAAATCAAAGTAGAAACAAGGGGTAAGAGGCCTTTTATTTAAGACTAAACCTTTCATTTAGTTAACTTAGGATTTCTACTAACTGCATAGTGGTATCTGTGAACCCTGGTTATTATTTCTGCTTGCTGCTCCTCCCCCCCGTGCCCCACTGCTGGAAGTGCCTCACTGTGCCGCTCTGTGTCTCCTGCAGTGGACAAGCGGATCGAGTCGGAGGAGTCTGGGGACGAGGAAGGGAGGAAGCAGGCGGTTCGCCTGGTGGCAGACCTGAGCCAGCAGAGCCTGAGGGATGAGCAGAACGGCGAGAACTCTGCAGGTACCGTGCCAGCCCCGGCGTCCCCTCGGTGCAGCAGCCCCCCGGTGCTCCTCCTGCCTGTGTCAGTGCTGGTTATCAGCACCAATCTGCCCCAGAGCAACCTTTAAATTTGAATAAATGGTAGTGTTATCATAGCTAGAATAAAGCTTCATGCTTTTTATGGAAGTACCTTCGATTTATTATTATTATTATTATTTTTAGATTTAGATTTATTTATCCATCCGTGTTTCTCTTCGAAACGTTCAATATCAAAACGCGAAACATCTTTATGCCTACTTTGTTCAGGGTGGAAATGTAGAAAATTAATTGGGAAAGGTGCTGGAAATGTTCACTGGAAATAATCCCAAGCAGCTTTTCATAACTGCTGTAGTTTATGTAGTCTTTTACCTGAAGAGTTGCCAGATTCCTCTGGAAGGCAGTGAGGACTATTCCTAGGTGGATTGAAGGGAGCCAACAATTTTTATTTTTTTTATTTATTTTTTTTTTAAATTTTAATTTAAAGATTCTGAGACATACCAAAATTATATCTTTGAATCCTCTCAGATTTAATCTTTTGCTACTGTTGCTACTGTTTGTATTAGAACACAGGGTAGAAATGTTGACAGACTTTTTTTAAGCCTGTGCACGTTTGGCGGGCGGGTTTTCGGTGGATTGTGTGGAATTTGTCAGAGCAGATCCATGTCTGCAACCCCTGTGTGGTGATATGATCCGGGCTTCTGGTGCTAGCTGACAGTCTGAGGTGTAACAGCATCCTTTTGATAGAGCTGTCCATCTCATTATTGTTGGTCTGGTACTGCAAGGGAAATAATGCAGCAAATTTTAATTCTTTTTGACTACACATCTACTGCAGATCCCTTCTCTTAACCTTGCACAGTGGGATTTGACAGAGTATTTTTGAACTAGTTATTTAAATTGTTAATGTCAAATTAATTTAAATTGTTATTTAAATCTCATATCCTAACTAAATGCACTCCATGTAGGTCTGATTCCTTGCTGATAGTTTAAAACCCCTTTATATTAATTAGAAAATGCTGTGGTGATGCCTATGAAAGAGCACACTTTGCAAACTGTACATCCCAAGCACTGTATGATTCATACAAAAAAGGAGATAAGACAGTGCTTACATGCCTGGAACCACGAGTGTTTACTCAGCTGGTGTGACTTAGCTGTGTGTTTAGGGTTATATTGTGCACTTTGTTCCCCTGGAAATTCTATTAAAGCAAATACAGAAGTGACGTACTTTTATTCCAGTGAAAGCAAGAAAAACACTTTCAGATTTAATTGCTGAATTACATTTGTGTACTATTTAATATCATGACTGTATTGCTACTCTTTCCAAACTGCTTGCGTTAAAAAAACTTCAGCTAGGGCAGAAACCAAACAGAGGAATAATTTTTGAACACTTGAGATAGTTTTCACAGTCAGCTTTGAGTTTCTCAGCTGCAAGGGAAAATTAAAGAGTTTTCCACATTTTTTCCACAGAAGATCATAAGTAGAAAGAGAGCTTGAGCAGCTGAAATTTCAAATTCATCATTTAACTGATTCTCTGAGGAATAGAGCCTCTGGTTAGAAAGCTTATAACTGAGCTATTTATAATATTCTTCGTGCGTATGCAGATAAAAAGTGTAGTTAGGCTTTTTGTTGCTTTAAATGCTTGTGAGACCGTGAACTTACGTAACTTGGTAATGACTGTTCCTAGTGTGGAATTTGGGGTTCCTGAATGGTGGATTTTTTTCCTGACTCTGCAAAGCCACGTGTCTTGCAGGCATAGGTTACACAAAACTTCACTTTTGGAACTTCACTGCCACAGCAATGGGATTTTTTTCCCCCCTTGAGAAACGTGTTCTGTTGGGAAGTGTGGAATAAAGCAGTTTGCAAGGGAAATTGCAGTCCTGGCTGTAATGTCGGTTTAGAGTGTTTTATATCCAGTCAGTTCATAAATAAAGTGACTTTAAATTTGCTATAACTCTTCTTCTCTTCCTCTCCTCTTCCTCTTCTCTTCCTCTTCATGTACTTTAACATTTTCATACCAATACTGACTCAGAACTGATATCAGATGCACATCTCACTCAGGCTGCTGTATGGAGCACTTTATACACAGTACACAAACTTCATGAGGGTTGCCTCTGTTACATAACTGCAGTGCCTGCATGTTCAGTTTTAATTGCTTTTATTTATTTCTTCATTTAATTGGTTTTATTTCAGTGAGTTTGATACGTATCCTGTGTGATTTGCTCTTACATGCTTGGATTTGAGTGCTGCTTTCCCACGCTGGCTCCACCACAACGGGTCTCTCAAAGCCACATGGCAAAAAAAATAGGAGGAGCTGCCCCTTGACAGGTCCCAGAGCAGAGTATTTAACACATTGCCTAAATCAAATGTGCATAAATGAAAATGTTCAAGCCTGCCAGCCAAACAAGGTCAAAGGGGAACAGCCTTGGTAGCAGAAGGGTAGGGTATCCCATTCCCTTGCTGAAGTGGATAGCTTTGATCTGCAATGAAAATAAAGAAATGCAAGGGTTGCCCACGGCTGAATTGCTGACAGGCAGACGTACCCCTGTCAGTTTTGGTGGCATTTCTATCCTGTGTTCAATGTCCCCGAGCCTCCCAGCTCATTTTGGATCCCCAAAATAAAATCTATGTTCCCTGCTAATTTAGACTGTAAAAAAAAAAAAAAAAAATTAGAAGATGAGGATTGCTTTTCAGTCTTAACTTCTGTCAGTCAGTTCACTGAGTCTCTCTTTCCTGTTTGAAAGCCCAGGCAAGAGCAGCAGCCCAAATACAGGAAGGTCAGTGATGATCTGTAGACTGTCAAACCCTTGTAGTTTGATGACAACATTAAAAATTGTGATGCTTGCACTGTTTGTCCTTACACTGCTACTTAGAAGACCAAGCATC